TCATCGAACAAACTCATAAATAATCTCATTTTATTTAGCTCATCTTGAGGATGAGGAAATGTTTCTCCTAATAAGGATATTAGTAACTTGCTAAAAACAGTTCAAATGTGATTTTGGTTTACAGAAATGTATATTCTCTGCTGGACAAAATTCATTTACATCACTATGAACAGGAAAGATATGCATGTTATTAATTTTATAGAAGCACATTTCTACTCTGCAAGTCAAATATATACACTGTCACAGTGTCTGTTCATCCACAGTGGGTCTACTAGACAAATCCTGGTACTAAATGAAAGACTGTCAGATATGCAGATGACACCACCCTTATGGCAAAAAGTGAAGAACTAAAGAGCCTCTTAATGAAAGTGAAAGAGGAGAGTGAAAAAGTTGGCTTAAAGTTCAACATTCAGAAAACTAAGATCATGGCATCCGGTCTCATCACTTCATGGGAAATAGATGGGGAAACAGTGGAAACAGTGTCAGACTTTATTTTAGGGGGCTCCAAAATCACTGCAGATGGTGATTGCAGCTGTGAGATTAAAAGACGCTTACTACTTGGAAGGAAAATTATGACTAACCTAGACAGCATATTAAAAAGCAGAGACATTACTTTGTCAACAAAGGTCTGTCTAGTCAAGGCTATGGTTTTTCCAGTGGTCATGTATGGATGTGAGAGTTGGACTATACAGAAAACTGAGCGTAGACGAATTGATGCTTTTGAACTGTGGTGTTGGAGAAGACTGTTGAAAGTCCCTTGGACTGCAAGGAGATCCAACCAGTCCATCCTGAAGGAGATCAGTCCTGGGTGTTCATTGGAAGGACTGATGCTGAAGCTGAAACTCCAATACTCTGGCCACCTGGTGTGAAGAGCTGACTCATTTGAGAAGACCCTGATGCTGGGAAAGATTGAGGGCAGGAGGAGAAGGGGACGACAGAGGATGAGGTGGTTGGATGGCATCACCGACTCGATGGACATGGGTTTGGGTAGACTCAGGCAGTTGGTGATGGACAGGAAGGCCTGGCATGCTGCGGTTCATGGGGTCACAAAGAGTCCGACACAACTGAGCGACTGAACTGAACTGACATCTCTTTTGTTCGTTTCCAAATTTTGGATTATTTTCCTTTCTGAAGACTAGAAGCTTATGAATTGTTCAGGAAATGTATAGAGGTCCTTATGATTGATGTGAAGAAGAAAGGAGTCACAAGAAACAGTCTGATCTAGCAACTGGACAAAGAAGAAACAGTATTACGTGCCCAAATTGACCAAAGGGCTAAAGGTTGGAGGCCATTTTGAGTGTCAGGCCTTCAGCTCCACAGAAACAATAAAACTAAACCTCAGAAAGAAACTTGGAACTCATCATTCATATATATAAAAAGGTATCTTTCTTGTTATTTTATTTTTCCTGATGTACTGTTTCTTTGTATTAACAAACCATTATCTATTTATCAATAGTTTGTTCATGGATATTTGGAACATTCCCAAATTTCCACTCTAACAAGCAGTATTGCAATAATATCTTTGTACATTTCTCTACGCACACATGTGGAAAAATTTTTACCAAGATCTATTTTTACTTTTACCAAATTTTGCCATATTTTCTCTAAACTTGTCAACTGAAAGGAAAAAAAAAGCAACATAAGAATTGTGAGTTTAAGTTGTATTCATGATTTTACTGAGTACTAAAGCCTAGGAGACAGCTATTCAGTTAGCTCTGAGTAACTGCTCCAAAGAGATAGGGGAGGAGCCAATTTATACATGATTTTTATAGCTAGGGAATACAAACAGTCAAGCATACATCTTGGTTTTAAAAAAGTATGGCTAATCACAAAAGACAGACATTTCAAGTTAGTGACTTTAGTGATTTTTATGTATGGGAAACTGCAAGAATCTGGAGTCATTGAAATTATTCCTGAGATACACATGTAACCATCCAAAGGCCTGTTTATTCAGGGCACAGAGTGCCTTATCTTGTTTATCATCCTCAATTCCCCTCAGGGTGCCCGTCAGTGAGCAATTGTAGTGGATTGCTACTTAATCCTCATATAACTGGGTGATGTTGTTTAGTCTCTAAGTTGTGTCCGACTCTTTGCAACCCCACAGACTGAAGCCCGCCAGCTCCTCTGTCCATGAGATTCTCCAGGCAAGAATACTGGAGTGGATTGCCATTTTGTTCTTTGTTCTTTGTGCACAAATTGATTGTAACAGATTGTATTTTTCAAAGATGTCCGTATCAACATATCCCATTATACATACACTTATAGAGTGATATTGACTCTTCTCTATCAAAATCTCCCCTTTCCTTGAGTATGGGTTAGTCTTAGAAAACCCCTCCTAATGAATAGAATGGGGTGAAAGTAATTCTGTATGATTTCCAAAGCCAGGCCATGGACTTCCTTGTTGGCCCAGTGGTGGAGAATCCACCAGCCAATGCAGGGGACATGGGTTCCATCCCTCGTCCAGCAAGATTCCACATGCTTTGGGGCAGCTAAGCCAATGGGCCACAAATACTGAGCCCAGCAGCAGCAGCAGCTACTGAAACTGGCGGGCCCTAGAGTTGCTTCTGCAACAAGAGAAGCAACTGCTATGAAGAGCTCTCACACCACAACTAGAAGTAGCCCCCACTTCCCACTAGAGAAAGCTCACACGCAGCAACAAAGACAGTGAAGTCAAAAATAAATAAAGAAAACTAAAAATAGAGCTACCATGCGATCCTGCAATTCCACTCCTGAGCATATATTCAGAGAAAAAATTGATCCAAAAGTATACATGCACCTCAATGTTCATTTCAGCACTGTTTACAATAACCAAGACATGGAAGCAACTTATTAATAAATACTCATCGATGACCAATGGATAAAGAAGATGTGGGACATACATATATACAGTGGAATATTACTCAGTCATTAAAAAATAACGAAATAATGCCATTCACAGCAACATGGATGGACCTAGAGAGTGTCATACTGAGTGAAGTCAGACAGAGAAGGAAAAATATTACATCCCTTATATGTGAGATCTAAAAAGAAATGATACAAATGAATTTACTTACAAAGCAAAAAGAGACAGACATAGAGAATGAACTTAGTTTGCTGGGGGGAAAGGATAGTTAGGAAGTTTGGGCAGGTCATGAACGCACTGCTATATTTAAAATGAATAACCAACAAGGACCTACTGTATAGCACATGGAACTCTGCTCAATGTTATGTGGCAGCCTGGATGGTAGGGGCTGGGGGAGAATGGATACATGTATACGTATGGCTGAGCCCCTTTACTGTTCCCCTGAAAATATCACAGCATTGTTAATCGGCTACACCCCAATACAAAATAAAAAGTTCAAAAATAAATAAATAAAAAGCCAGGTCATAAAAGGTGAGACAACTTCCGCTTGGTTTTCCCTCTCTGTTGTGGGACTTCCACACTTGGACCCAATCATCAGATTGTGAGTAAGATGATAGCACATGGAGGCCTCGTATAAGTGTTCTAGCCAGCAGATCCAGCTAAGGTATTAGGCAACATGAACCGTTCAAAAACATGTGGGTGAATGAGACTTCAGATGATTCCAGCTCTGAACCTCAGAGTCTTCCAGCTGCAGCCTCAGACATTGGAACAGAGACAAGCTGCGCCCTCTGTATCTGAACTCTTGGATCACTGGGAGCATAAGAAATGATTGTCTTGTGCCACCAAGTTTGGGGGTAATTTGTTACACAGCTGTAACTGAAACATTGATTGTATAATTTGACTCTCTCACCAGAAACTATGGTATGTGTGTTTTGATGTCCCAATGTCCTGTCTCTGGCAAAGCATGAGAGTATCATGCTCCTGCATTTTTGCCAATCTAATGGGAATGAAATAGCGCAACACTTTCATGAAAGCTAAAAAATATGTTGCTTGCATCTTTAGATCCTCAGATGCTAGTACAATGCCTGACACAAGTGGGTTTCCAAAAAAAAAAAACACTGAAAGCATAACCAAAACTAATCATGAAGGACAAAATTAGACAAATTCAAACTTAAAGACATGTTGTAAAGTAGTAAGCACATATGCATCAAAACATCACAATCATGAAAGACAAAGACTGAATTAAAGGAAACACGTATTAAAAGAGACTACACAGACCTGACTAGATCCATGGTATGAGCCTAGATGGGGTCCTGAAAGAAAAAAACTTTTTCCCTTTGTTGTAAAATATGCTAGTGCAGCAACTGATGAAAGTTGAATAGTCTGAGTATTATATAATAGTAGAGTTTCAATTCAAATTTTCTGGTTTTGATAAGTATACTTCTTAATCCCTTGTGAAAAGAATGATCTTATTTTTAGGAAGTGTATAGTGAAGTACCTAGGAAAGGGGCAACATGTGTATCATATACTCTCAAACATTCAGAAAAAAAATTATATAGCTGTATATAAATATATGACTAAAAAAACAAATAGAAAAAAATTATAGTTTAGAGAATATAGACAAATGATATACAGGAATTCTTTGTATCATTTTGAAACTGTTCAGTACCTCTAAAATTATTTTAAAATAAAAATTAAAAAAAAAATTTCAGTACAGTCATTTACTACCAGTGCAAATTATTTACCTTTGCAAACAAACAGCACCTCATTTACTAAGATAAAATATTATATTTACTCACTTTCATTTATAGAATCTGCCAAACTCTACTTTGTCTGGCACCCTGCAAATCACCAGCTATAGAAAAGTGAAAAAGACCTGGTCACTGGTATCTTTAAGCTGAGTGGAAAAAACAACCAAGAAAACGGAAATATTCAACAAAGAGTGATTAGTGTTAGCTCTCAGTGTGGTTTATATAAACGCACATAAAAAAGAGGCTTTAAAAATTCCTAATACATCATAAAATAGGTCCATCTCCTCTTTGGATGATTACAAGCTTAAAGAAAAGTTTTTTTAGCTCTTTGAAAAAGACATCCTCAAATAGCTCACTTTCTAGCCAGCTCTCAACTTCCTGTCTTTCTGACTGGGATAATGACTTACCACAGCAGCCTGGCACCCCTGGCGTCCTCTCCCTGTGTTCAAATTTCCTCTTTTTATAAGAACAGCAGTCACATTGGATTAGTGTCCACTGACCTCAGTATTCTTGCCTGGAGAATCCCATGGACATAGGAGCCTGGTGGGTACAGTCCATGGGGTCGCAAAGAGTCAGGCACAACTGAGTGACTGAACAACAGCCTCAAATGCAGTCATATTCCAAGATGCGTTTCATATTTCTAACAAGTCAGGGCTTGAACATATAAATCTGGGGAGAACACAATTCAGCCTATAACAGCGATTATAAAGAGACGTTTCATCAGAGCTCGCAAGGATCTATGCAATAGTGTTAGGCATCCTTATATTTAGGTCTTTAAATGCAGTTTGACAACTTTTCTGAAGTGATGATACAATGCACAAAGTTAACTTGTTCCCTGCTCTTATTACAATTGTTAAGTGGTAACTACCTGTGGTTTGGAGGATTTCACAGACAGCAGCTTGTAAAGAAACGCAATAAGGAAAGAACTGATTTTTAAAGTATCTCCCATTATTTTGGCTAACTGAAAGAATTGCAGGAGTACGTGTGTGTGTATGTGTGTGCATGCTCAGTAGTAACGCAATGACAGGTTTTCTAGGATGGCTCAGCAGTAAAGAATCTGCCTGCAATGCAGGAGACACAGGTTCAGTCTCTGGAACTGGAAGATTTCCATGGAAAAGGAAATAGCGACCCACTCCACTATTCTTGACTGGGAAATCCCAAGGGCAGAAGAGTTTGGTGGGTTACAGTCCATGGGGTCGCAAAGAGTCAGACACAATTTAGCGACTAAACAACACACAATGACAGAATTGGTCAAACTGGTTGGCAGTAGGATCTTTCTCTAGTTCAATGACCTTGTCTAGAGCCAGATACAAATGTACACAGAAGATCATATGAAGTGATTATATGCTGACAGAAGCCAAGTCTAGTCTTTTCAATGATGTAAGCAAGGGTTGTAAAGAAGCAGTCTCATAGCCAAGTGCACTGGCAACTTGTGAAAGCCACCAGAAGCTCAGGCAGAGAAAGCCGTGACTCCACAGCTCTCAGTGAAGGAGGGGGGCTAGGGGATTTCCTCCTTGAGGAGACTCCAGTAGCAGAAAGAGCAATGACAGGGAGGTCAGGACACCCAGGGCATGGTCTCAGTTGGACACTAACTAGTAGCCACCAGGAGTAGGTCCCTTAACCTCTCCAAGACTCGGGATGCCCTCCTGTAAAAGGCGGGGGTTTCATTTGATCAGGGATGGCCAACAGGTGGCACATAGATCCTGACCTCCCTCGGGCCTTCGGTAGAGACCACTGCTCCATCACATCACTGTTTACACATTCTTCTACAACATTCTAGGGAGGCATTTCCACTTAGAGTTGGTCCACAAGCTGAAATCTACTTATCTTTCCCCTATTAGATGATTTCTGAAGTCCTTTCTAGCTCCTAAATGGAGTGTTCTAACTTTGCAAGTAACAGAGGACCACCTTTTTGACTTAGCAGTAGCTCCATCAAAAAAAAAAGAAAATGGAAATTTAGGGTCATAATTTCATACACTCACCTCTCCCCATCCCAAGATGGAGCAGGGTCTCCCGCTGGGTCACACAGTCTTTCCTTCTGTGTCAGAGATCTTTGTATGTGAGTTTCACCCTCTGTCAGCTCACCCAGCATGACGGTGTCCCAGACTATAGATCCTTACTAGCTATAATCACCCACAACGTAAAACTACATGGGACATCAAGAAACCTACAAGGAGAGGAATTATCTTAGGGCAGTGAAAACCAAAAGTTAGAAGAGGTGGTATTTAAGGATTCTCAGCACAGATAACCGCAATCACACTTCTCACCCCTGGCAAGAGAGCAATCACACAAACAGTACCCAAATGGGGGCAGCATCAGGAATTCAGGAGGTTGCAAATGTGTTTTATTGAAAGAAGCAGTGATTTGGTTAACACAGGTCCCATCTCACAATCCACTTCTCACCCCCCTCCAAAACACACAGGGGAAAGACTCAGGCCAGGGGCGCAGGTGTGGGTTGGATAGGAGCCCTAACTTGCTTGAGTTATTGCCCTCAGGTCAGGGAATCGTGTGGTTATATGTGTGTGCGTGTGTGTGCATGTGTGTGTGTGTTGGATAAGAAACCTAACTTGAGTTATTGCCCTCAAGCCAGAGAAGCCTGTGCTTGTGTGGAGCTGGCAGTGAGGGTAGGGGGGTGGCAGGTAAGAACACCGAACCATCAAAGTGGACTGGCACATACGGGTTTCCCTCACAAGCCACGGTGATGTATTTCTGCTTCTGGCTAGTCTTGTAGGCACAGTTGGGGTACTTAGAGCTGCCTGTCTCACGGCAGTCTGTGATGTTCATGGTGGAGTTGCTCTGGTAGCAGTTGGGCTGCCCATTCTTGCAGGTGATGTTTTTCTGGGAGCACACGGCCTTGACATTGTCCAGGGACTCGTGCACAAAGGTGTTCACCGGCTTGCATCGTCCATGTGTCATCCTCCGGCGCTTCATCATCTGATTGCAGTAGTTGGAGTTGCCGCTGGAGGAGCTGCCAGAGTCCATGTGCTGCCTCCGGAACTTGGCGGCTGCAGATTCCTTGCCCAGGGAAGGCTGGACCCACACCAGCAGCAGCACCAGGACCAGCAGTGACAACAGGACCAGGGACTTCAGAGCCATGATGACCGCACTCCCCTGGAGAAAGCTGCCACGGAAAAGGGGCAGAGGAGGGAAAGCATCGCCTTAGAAAGAGAACCCCAGCTCCCACCTGTAGCCTCCCTAGCTTACAGAAAAACCAGAAAGATGTCCTTCTTCCTAAGAGCTTTCCTAGGTAAGGAGACACTCACATATACTCTTCCCACAAATATTTGACTCCCACTCCCTACAGAAGGGTCGTCCTCCCCTCTGGGTGATGACCCCAGAAATGACCTAAAATCCTAGCAGTCTTGTCTTTGAATACAGAAAGTCTTTTGATATGAAATACATTTGAAAAATAAAATACCTTTATACCCAGCATTCAAGCGGCAAGTTAGATGTTCCTTTTGAATAAATCATTAAATAAATAAGCCAGATTTTGAGTAAGACACATTGTATCCTGAAATTGTTGTTGTTGTTCAATTGCTCAGTTGTGTCTGACTCTTTGTGACACCATGGACTGCAGGCTTCTCTGAGATAACTGCCAGTATTCATCCAGGATCACGGCTGACAGAGCCCTGTTGTCCTCCGGCACAAGGGAAACTCAGTCCCTGTCCTGTGTCTGACACCACACCATAAAGGACACCATAGTATTCCTATGAGAGATTCAAGCCTCCCCCAACCTGGAGGGTTCTCCTTCTCCAGCCCCGTGGGCTCTCTGCAGCCTGCATGCTCCATTCCTGATTCCAGCTCTGCTCCCTGCCCATGTCTGCCCAACCCAATTCTTAGACTAATCTCACTCACCCTGGATCTCCCTTCTCAAACCCTCAAGCAGAGTCAGCTCCTAAGACCACTTCTTGAGCTGCTTACCTGGGTCTCTAGCTTGGTCTCTGAAAAAGAAGGCAGTTTCTGCAATCACTCTATCCCAGGGATGTGGAACTTATACAGATGAAAGGGGGCTTGGCTTCCAAGAAGAGCAGGGTGGGTGGAGCATCTTGGTCTCGGTCCACAAGAAAACAAGGTCATGTTAGAAAGGGGTGGGGAATTGCCCAGGGCGCCCTCTTTGGGGGCTACTGGGGAGAGGAAGCCTTTGCCAATAAGAACCTTTCTTTCGATTAATATAAGCAGCAGGGAAAACCACTATAGCACTGATATTCAAACCCCAGTCAAGTCCTTGCTCTGCAGTAAATAGCACTTTGAGGTTAGCTAAAGACACATAACATATGATCATGAGAACAGCTGCTTTGGACAAAATTCCACATCTCTCATCAGCACCTCTGGGGTGGAAGGCTGCATGGAGTGGGGAGAGGTGTCCAGCTGCCCCTAGCTGGAAAAGTTCCCAGATCTGGAGAAGGGTGTATTGTTCAGTCACCCAGTCATGTCTGACTCTTTGTGACCCCATGGACTGCAGCATACCAAGTTTTCCTGTCTTCACCATCTCCTGGAGTTTGCTCAAACTCATGTCTGTTGAGTCGGTGATGCCATCCAACCATCTCATCTTCTGTCATCCCCTTCTCCCCCTGCCTTCAATCTTTCCCAGGTTCAGGGTCTTTTCCAATGAATCGGCTCTTCAAATCGGGTGGCCAAAATATTGGAGTTTCAGCGTCAGCATCAGTCCTTCCAATGACTATTCAGGACTGATTTCCTTTAGGATTGACTGGTTTGATCTCCTTGCAATCCAAGGGACTCTCAAGATTCTTCGCCAACGTCACAGTTCAAAAGCATCAGTTCTTTGATACTCTGCCTTCTTTATGGTCCAACCCTCACATCCATACATGACTACTGGGAAAACCATGTCTTTGACTATATGGACCTTTGTGAGCAAAGTAACACCTCTGCTTTTTAATATGCTATCTAGGTTTGTCATAGCTTTTCTTCCAAGGAGCAAGCGTCTTTTAATTTCATGACTGCAGTCACCACCTGCAGTGATTTTAGAGCCCAAGAAAACAAAGTCTGTCACTGTTTCCACTTTTTTCCCATATATTTTCCATGAAGTGATGGGACTGAATGCCATGATCTTAGTTTTTTGAATATTGAGTTTTAAGCCAACTTTTTCACTCTCCTCTTATTTATCCTGGCAGTCTTGATTCCACATTAACATGGAGAAGAAAGAAGCTTCTGTATGACCTCACCCAGTTCAGACAACTTCAGCACACCTGGACTGTTGAAGTAGAGTATGTGTCCATTCTTATCTGATGAGCAAAAACTCAGCTTCTCTGTACGTTAGTGCCAAATCAAATCTCAGAGACAGATTTTTGGGTGAAGTAGAAAAGGATGGCTTTATTGTTTTGCCAGGCAAAGAGGGACATAGCAGGTTCATGCTCTCCAAACCAAATGTACCAACGAGGTGAAGATAGTGACATGTTTTATAGTAAAAGAGGTCATGATCAGCTCATGGACATCCTTCCAGTGAGTTGGTGAGTGAGGTAAGTAAGACTCAACATTATCAACCTTCAGGACCAACTGACTGCTCTGGGGTCTACATACTTGTGGGCAGCAAACATACCATCATTTCTTAACTTATCTTGCCTGGAGGAGGTTTTAGAATCTGGAGAATAGCTTAAAG